AAGATGGATTGGCCAAGTGGCAGCATCGATGGACTCAAGCGTGTTAACAGATGTTAGGTTGGCACAGGAATAGGCAGTGTTTTGTTCTGTTGTGCATAGGGTCGCTATGAGTCGTACTGACTCGATGACACCTAACAACAACATAGGGTTTCTGAGGATTACTGGTGAGCTTGAACTGCCGACTTTACGGTTCAAACCAACTTTGTAGTCTAAGCCCATTAACCCACAGCGCCACATCAGGACTCTTGATATTAGGTCTTCAGAAATACACATTCACAGACTGTGTAAATTTGGAATGAATTTAGGGTGAGTCATTTGCAAGGCTTCTGGAGCTATTTTTCCAGTTGTTGTTCAGGTGATTCTCACTCATGGTGACACCGCTGTATCAGAATAGAACTGTGTTTCATGGGGTTTTAATGGCTGTGAGACTTAGTAGCAAATGCTTTACCATTTGTGTCACTTAAACACTCTGAGGAGTCCTGGTGTGGTACCATAGGATAAGCACTTGACCTCAAGATTGGTTTGAACTGCAAGGTTGGCAGTTCAAACTCACCAGCTGCTCCTCGGAAACCCTAAGTAAAGTTGGTTTGAGTCATAGCCGACTTGGCAGCAATTAACAACAACAACAAAAACTTGGAAGTTATAAAACTATGAAGATACAGCATATGTTTTTGTTAGTCACAGACTCTTAAAAATGGATATCTTCAAAGTATGCAAGAAGCCCTGGAGGGGCAATGGTTAAGTGCTTGCCACCTAACTGGAAGACTGAACCCACCAGCTGCTTTGGGGAAGAAAGTTATGGTAGTCTGCTTCATAACAATTTTGTTGTTGTGTGCTGTCGAGTCTGTTCTGACCCACAGAGACCCTATATAGGGTTTCTGAGGAGTGATTACAGCCTTGGAAACTCTCTAGGGTAGTTCTACTCTGCCCTACAAGGTCACTATGAGTTCAAATCAACTTGATGACAATCTGTCAAACTAGACCAAAAAAGAGAAAGAATAACAAATATAAATTCTGTGGATTTTTGTAGCAGTGAGGGGCAACTTCTACCTCAGTGGCAGTGGGTCCCCCTGTCCTGTGGTGCTAACAGTGACAGTTCAGGCCTTTCCTCAGAACCCCACTTAGGCATACAGATGAAAATAAAGCCATTTTTATTTTTTAATGAATGTGAGGTGAGAGGATAAAGCCAGGCTGAGGCAGGACGTTGGAGATGTGGGTGAAGTAGAGATGCGTGACCCCAGAGAAGGCTGTCCCACAGCAGGGAGGTCCCCCAGAATGGTGTGTGTTGCTTCAGCTTCACATACTCTGAGAACCGAGGTCTCTCAGTGCTAAGAATTTCCCTGGGTTGCCTCTCTGGAGAGAATCTGAAGACAGTTCCAGCCTCAAACCTTCTAATAAAGAGGGAAAAAACCCTTACAAATATTTATGAACATAATTACTTGAACCACTGATTGTTGTTGTTAAGAGCCGTCAAGTCAATTCCGACTCATAGCCACCCTGTACAGGTTTCCAAGGAGCAGCTGGTGAGCTTGAACCACCGACCTTGCAGTTCAAACGGCTTTGCAGTCTGGCGCATTAACCCACAACACCACACCAGGACAGATATTCCTAAATCATTCAGAGAAAGCATTTTCTCCTTTCTTCATGGTTTCTTTGCTACTTTTCTTCTTCCCACTAGGAATGAAAATTGGGGCAGGAAAGCAGGCCCAGTGGTACAAAATCTTAGTGCCTCCTGCCTTGCAGGATGGTGCCTTTTTGTAGTTCCTTGTTCACTTCCTGGCTTGGCAGAAGTCAGAGAAAGATCACTCACTTTATTCATGCACATAAAGTGCCAGACAAAACAGTCCAAGTGAAGAAGACTTAAGGAATCTCTGGGATTGTATAAGCCCCTAGACGGCACAAATGACTTCTAACTTAAATGGCATGATAGAAAGACCTGGAGCTTAATTATAGTCAAGAAAATTCGGTAGAGATTTAAAGTTCTACTTTATAACATATAAGTTGGAATTAACTAACGGTGAATGTGTGTCTGTGTGTGTGTGTGTGTGTGTGTGTGTGTGTGTGTATGTAAGACTGTATAGTCTTCATGCCACATTTTACAGATTAGGTAAATCAGGCCCAGAGAAGTTTCGAGTCTCATCCAACAAGACTGTGAACAGCAAGCTGGGACAAAAGCCCAAAAGTCCTGACTCCCAGTCTTGTGCTCCCTCAGAGTTAGCACTGTACCTGCTTATCTGGCTTTGAGGTCAAAGATGAGGCTTCATAAAGATTCATGAGAAGAGTGGGCCCGGATTCAGTGTTACCTGTGGTGAAAATCAGAGAGCAACAGAATCAAGGTTGTCAGATCCAGATCTAATGAATTTTTAAATAAATATACCATCTACATACATACATACCTAGTTTACATATGTGTCAGGTTATACACCTATGGGATTCATATTTACTCATCCTGTAACAACCACAACCTCCTTAGGCACAGCTTAACGCCATGTTAAAAGCTGATAGTCAAATGTCTATACTTTTTGTTTTAAGGAGCTCTAGTAGCGTCATGGTTATAAGTTGGGCTGCTAACCTCAAGATCAGCAGCCGTTCCTCAGGAGAAAGATGAGGTTTTCTGCTCCCGTAAAGATTTACAGCCTCAGAAACCCTGTGAGAGGTCACTATGAGTCAGAACCGGCTGCATGGCACATAACCACCACTACCACCCTACGTTTTGTTTTGGTAGCTCGACCAAAGGATAAAAGCAAATTCTTTGTGCTACTAAACTTCAGATTAAGCTGAAATTAAAAGGAAATATTAATGGGAAAGCAATCTGCTGATGCTGCTAAATATAAATTTTGTATAACTGCACTTCACTGCAGTAGGAAGATGTCTCGATGACCTTCCAAATGTGGAGATCAGAGGTTTCCCGTTTTTCTTTGTAATGTGGAAGGCATCAGGAAAACTGGAACATAAAGCAAATACTACAAAGATCGGAGTAGGGCTGTGGGGAGGACCTAGGGTGGTGGGGTGGGACTAATAGAAACCATGGTGCCTTGCTCTGAAGCAACACTGAACATGGTATTGGTGGATCATTTACTGTCTCTCCTCTCTGGTTGGTGCTATTACTGTACTCTGCAGGCTTGGAAGTTGAAGCTTAAAAGATGAAGTCTTTTGCCCAATGTACAACCAATGAGGTTTTGAGTAAAGATTTGACTCCCCAGACTGCCTGACTCTAAGCCCCATATTGCAAAAATATAGGATTTATTTTACTTTTCTTCTTTCCCACCCCAAGAGAGTGAATTTAATGTTTATAAAGGAATGTTTAGTGGAGGAACATATTTAGCTAAGCATATCTTGGGACTGGCTCTATTTTCAACATGGCTCCACTGACAAGGATTTTGGTCTCTTGCAGATGACCAGCATGCAACAAAGAGTTCTTTCTATACCTGATACTCACAAGCACTCTCTTTAGAGCCTGTGGCCATGTGTGACTTTGCATCTTTGTCTGTTCTCTGTCCTAAAACCTCTACTCATTCCCTATTTCCTGTTGTTTCTCAGCTGCCTGTCTTCTGCCTTGTTTGAAAATGGCTCTGCACAGATCGCAAACACGCCTTATTTAAGACAGCTGGGGAAACTGAGGCCCAGAGCATAGTTTCATGTGATTGGCTCAAGGTTACCCTGTGAAATAGTACAAGATCAGGACCAGAACTCAGATCTGACTCATCGTCTTGTACTTTCCCCTCCATATCAGTCTGCCTTCTGTTAGCCTGACTGGAGCTGGCCACATCACAGCTGCTTGGCCATGATCCATCTTCTGGACAAATCCAGCCTTGCAGAATTGTGTTGTGATGAGGTTCACTTCACTGTGGCTTGGAAGGAATCATGGGTCTTTTAAAAATGAAACTTATAAATTCTAATGCATAAGGAAAATTCTTGCAACACCAGGAGAATGAATCAGTCAGCCAGAGTTCAAGAAATATAAACACACTTTTAGATAGGAGACTGAAAAATCACTTAGGACTTCTTCATCTCTTGGGTCAAGACCCTGCTAATTTACTGAGGTCCAAGCCGTCAAGGAGGGGACACAATTCAAACTGCATTCCTGGGAGATAAAGCAGTGGGGGTGGTAAAACTTCCTCTCAGAACAATGTGGCAAGAGTTATCCCTGTTATCAAGCCAAATAAACGACTGACCCATCGACCAACCCACGCCACTGGCTGTGAATGCCGATTTCGTTCTCATTATCCAGGAGTTGGTGTGCACACACAGACCACAGACTGCACAGCTTCCAGCACATCAGAATCTTTCAGTGATGAACATTTCTGCCACTAACGAGATAAACAGAAAACACATTCCTTTCTGGCTGCCCACCATCAGGCCCGAGCAGACTTTCAAATGCCAGCATTAATCTAACCACAGGCTTTTAGCAAGCAGATAGCATTACCACCAGATAATCAGGCAGTTTTCAAGATGACCCTTGCTAGGTGGGGTTTCATCCCAAACCTCTTCCTGCTTTCTTCAAATCATGGGATCCTTCACCAAACACTCACAACTTGAAACGCAGGACAGAACATCCGATTCTCAGATACGGCGCCTTAGATTTTCCTTCTATTTAATCTGTGTTGGCTGTGTTTAATTTACACGTTGCTATTTGTTGCTTTAAGTAAAAATGAAACATAGTCATATTTATTCCCAGGGTTTTAGAACTCTCATTTCTCTTGAACGCTGTGGTAGGCCCTATCAGTTGTCAGAATAAAGACCAAATGCCAAAGAGTCACCTTATCAGGCAAGATGGGCCAGCTGGCTCCTTCCCAGATGTACGTCAGGGCTCAGGAAAGGCTTCAGACTCACTGCTTACAAAGTGGCCACACTGGTGGCTCTGAGGGCAGAAGTCACTTTAGGATATTTCCCACATAGACTGCTTCTGAGGCATGAACACACTTTGATGGCTAGTATGGTCTCATGGAAATTCCTCCATAAGCTGCACTGGCTCATCTTTGAGGAGTGGGTACATCCATTGCCAAACATATCTTAGAAAACACCTTAGCCGTCTTATAGCTTCGTACATGGCTTGACAGTCTTCAGCAGGAACCAGTGGGAGGAAGCCTAAAAGGAAGGCTTTGTATCTTCATGGTTTTGTTTTGTCAAAAATGGAAAATGCAAATGAAAATTCCAGATAATAAAAAGTAAATTCTTCCCAGGATAAGCTTACCCATAAAAGGAGGAATAATTTTGGTCCCTTTACATAGTCCTGCTGACTTTCCTTAAGAATGGTATCTGAAAATACTGTATTTTATATGATGTAACTTAAGATGCCTGTGACCTATAGTATGTTTGTCACGTTATGATAATAAATCTCAAGTCTGCTTGTTTAATGCAGGAGTCTGAGATCTAAGATGACCTTTGGTATTGTCATTATCAATTTCTTGGGACAAGACTTAAGACTGTGTTTATACTACACATTTTTTGCTTTAAATCTTCCTAGATGAGGAGGATAAGAGGAGAGTATTAAATAGTTACTTAAACCCTGAGAAAGTCTCCAGACTAAAGACATACCCAAAGGAGCGCTATTAAAGGAATCAAGTAGAAAGATCTAGAATACATAAGCGAGTCAGCATTTAAAAATGGAAATTCCTAGTAAATGTGAGGGCAATATTTTTCTTCAAATTTGGAATAACAATCCTTTTTCTCTACTTATATCTTCTTAGACCCAGGCTAGATAAGTCTCTAGGGTCTGGATTTAGCTTTGGGAACACACTAACATCTTAAAAGTTCGTATATTTTATGGAAAGGTCCAAAGTCACATGGCAGTTTACCAAGCCCAAAATGGGAGGCTAGCTAGATGAGGGAGTTTAAATTTGAGTTCAGTAGCTACAAATTAGGCACTCTGGTAGCCCAGTGGTTACAAATTGGGTTGCGAACCACAAGGTCAGCAGTTCGAAACTACCAGCTGTTCCATGGGAGGAAGATGAGGCATTCTGCTCCTGTTAAGATTTACAGATTCAGAAACCCTGTACAGAGTCGTTATGAGTCGGAACCTACTCCACGGCACACAGTCAGCCAGCTACAAATTAGCAACTATATGAGATGCGTCATAGGATTAATGAGAATACTTGTGGAGGAAGACTTTGCAGAAGGGAATTAGAAAATGAGACTAAAGGTGGATCTACATACAAAGTGGTCAACCAATTAAATTCATGTGGTCACTCATATCTATGGAAAATATTATTCTTGGTCACTGACTTGCAAACAAATATAGACGCTGGATCCCTCAGCCTCCAGTCTTACCCTCCTCCAATTCATTCTTCCTAGCTGGTAGAGTCAATTCTCTAAAATAAAAATCTGGTTTTATCAATCCCTCCCTAAAAGCAGCATCCCACAGTTGGCATAAATTCTTTAATTGCTGCTGCTGCTCCTTATGATCTGCCTACTCCATCAACTGTTTTTTTTTTTTTTTTTTTTTGCAAAGAACAAGGCACCAGGAAGTGATGGAATGAAAATTGAAATCTTTTAAGCAAGTGAGGTGGCATAGGAGGCACTCACTCTCTATGTCAAGAAATTTGGAAGACAACTATCTGGCCGACTGATTGGAAGAGATCCATATTTGTGCCCATTCCAAAGAGAGGTGACCCAACAGAATGCGGAAATCAT